GGAGAATGGTCAATGGGGTATGGTGGGAAGCCCATGAAACCTTGGAAGGCTATGATTGGCTCAGAACAGTGTCCATAGTCTTCCCTGTAGCTCTAGAACTTTAGAGCCATGGCACCAGCAAGTGTTAGCTGAGGTATTTACCACTCCGAGTTTTCTATTCTTGATAATGTTTTCTGTCCAAGGTAGCCTAGGTCACTTAAGGGTCAGATTTATGTTGCTCAATAAAGAGTAAAATTCTCCAGCAAGTGGAGTGAATTAGCCTCAGGCAGGCTCCCTATATGTGTATCCAAAACAGCATGTTCAGTCCTGAAACCATAGCACATAACTAACAGAAATGGAACCAGCAGGTTTTATTCATATATTTGCACATACTAATTCACACATATTTAACAAGGAAGAAATTTGAAGGGAAGAATTTGGGAAGACATGAAGAGAGGACAAGGAAGGGGGAAAGTGATGTAAAATATTTTAGTTAAAAATGTATAAAAATAAATTTTAAACATAAATATGGCTTGAGAGATAGCTTAGCAATGAAGAGTACTGAGTGTTATTGCAGAGGACACAGATTACATTGCCAGAAACCATGGTTGCTAACCATCTCCTGCAACTCCAGTTCCAAGGGATCTTATTCCCTCATCTGGCCTCTACAGGTATCACACATAGACGTATGTAGATAAACACGTATATACATAAAACAAAGCTTAAAGAATGAAATTCTTGGAAGAAACTCACCAAAGTGGTATAAAGTGTATAAGGTTAAGTGACTAATTAAATTGTTTATCTAAGAAAATGTTTGCAGATAAAAAAATAGTTTTGGGTTGGTAATACAAGTTAGGATAGAAAGTAAAATAAGTACAGATCTTTGCAGTCACCAAGACAGGATAGAAAATTTAGTACTTTTTCTGGTTTTTCCAAATGCAAATGGACTGGACATTGTGAATATAATTCTTACCCAATAATTCTTCTTATTGTATATAGTTATACTGTGTTAGAGTTAAAACCTTCCATTTTTATTTAGACAAAAAAGGGGAAATATTGTGGGATAGTTTGATCACATTCTTGTGGTGATATTGTGTTCCCCAATATATTGTTCACCTTAGTAGACTTATCTGGGGTCAGAGAACAGAACAGCTGCTAGATAGACATAGAGGCTAGAAAATGGTGGCACACGCACGCCTTTAATCCTAGCATTCTGGAGGCAGAGATCCATCTGGATCTCTGTGAATTCAAAATCACACTGGAAACAGCCAGGCATGGAGACCCATGCCTTTAATCCCAGGAAGTGATGGCTGGAAGCAGAAAGGTATATAAGGTGTGAGGACCAGGAACTAGAGCCTGGTTAAGTTTTTAGGCTTTTAGCAGCAGTTCAGCTGAGATCCATTCAGATGAGGAATCAGGCTTTCCAGTTTGAGAAAATGAGATCAGCTGAGGAATTGGTGAGGCGATGTTAGCTGTGGCTGGTTCTGTTTCTCTGATCGTTCAGCATTCACCCCCAACCAAAAATTAAATTCTGTACAGTAATGTCACAGCCTTGAGATAGACAGCAGTCAGGGCTTCATTAAAATGAACTCTTTCTGGTCCTTCATAGAAGCATTTGTGGCCTGCTGAGCCAGCTTGCTTGGAGGCAAAGGAAGCCTTATTCTGAAGTTAGAATAGCTCAGAATAGCTGTTCACTTAAGAACATCATTCATAGTATGAATAGGTGACTTTCCTATGCCTTTTTTTTCTATTTGTGTTCTATTTCCTTTGTACATGTGGCATTGATGCATTTTTATATGTATCTTTTATGTCATACATTATGATCTATTTATCTTATAAATCATGAATTATGTTATATTTATATTTAGATCATGACACATGATCTGAAAGATAGTTTTGCTCTATAAATCTCCATCTGCCTAAGTTGCTAGACTTGCACTCTCCTGTCCCTATTTAAATTGTTCAACATTTAACCTCAGGCCAGAACCTAAAAGAGACTTCAGGATGACAGCATATGTGGCATGCAAAATCTGTGCCAGACCAGCTCCTCTTTTAACCTTAACCACCACTTGATGCATACTGTTATTTAAGATATTTTGGTTTATTAAACTTTCAAATGTGTGGAATAATTTATTCCTGGGAAGGCATATTAATTCTATAACAGCAGTACTCCATCCTTGTAGAAAATTTTTTTGAGACAAGTTTCCTATGTTGGATCAGGTAGCCTTGATCCCACTCCATCTCATCTTCTTGTCCTTGGGATTAAACCAACTACATTTTTTGATTAAAGAACTCAACTACCACTAAGTTTTAAAATTAAAAATTTGGGTCATATCATCAACTGTCCATTTCAGTAACAGGAAGAGGACTTGTGTGTGCCTTCATGCCAGAATAGGAGGAATAGTTTATTGTGTACAGGGGGAAACAGGGTAGGCAATCAGCTGCTGGAGTCACCATTATGAAATAGGACCTGATTGCAGAAGGATCAGTGATTTTATAATTTTTCAGCATGTATTGATCCATCATGTGAGTGAAGGCAGGCTAGATTTTGAGTGTGCAATTTGGGAAGGTTAGTTTGAGCCAATGAATTTTGAATTTTCAACAAAGGAACTCTCCTATGCAGATATGTTCAATCCTGCTTGTCATGGTTACATTCATTAGTTGTATGCCAGGCCACAGGTCTCAGCAGCTAACATTGCACATAGGGGCATGGTGAAATAATATCTTATTAATATCATTCCCTGTGGTGGTATTGTGTTCCCCAAAATATCGTGCACCCCAATAAACTTATCTGGGGTCAGAGACAGAACAGCCACTAGATACAAAGGCTAGAAAATGGTGCACTCACACATTTAATCCTAGCATTCCAGAGGCAGAAATCCATGTGTTCAAGGATACAGCCAAGCATGGTGACTCACGCCTTTAATCCTAGAAAGTGAGCCTTTAATCCCAGGGAGTGGTGGTAGAAAGCAGAAAGGTATATAAGGCATGAAGACCAGAAACTAGAAGCATTTGGCTGGTTAAGCATTTGGCTGGTTAAGCTTTCAGGCTTCTAGCAGCAGTTCAGCTGAGACCCATTCTGGGTGAGGACTCAGAGGCCTCCAGTCTGAGGAAACAAGACCAGCTGAGGATCTGGCGAGGTGAGGTAGCTGTGGCTTGTTCTGGTTCTCTGATCTTCCAGTTCACTCCAATACCTGGCTCAGGTTTGATTTCATTAATAAGAACTTTTAAGATTCATGCTACAATTCCCTTTACCAGAGAATGGTTTTCTCAACCTAGATGCCCCTTAACTGAAGAATGGATAAAGAAAATGTGGCACATATACACAATGGAGTACTACTCAGCAGTAAAAAACAATGATATCATGAAATTTGTAGGCAAATGGATGGAACTAGAAAATATCATCCTGAGTGAGGTAACCCAGACTCAGAAGGACAAACATAGTATGTACTCACTCATAGGTGGATACCAGATGTGAGGGAAGGGATGTTCAGATTGCAACCCACAGCTCCAGAGAGGCTAGCAAACAGGGATGGCCCAGTGAAGGAGAAGTGGATGAGATCTACATGAGCAGACTGGGAGTGGAGGGGGTGGAGGGTGAAGAGTGGGGGATGAGAACATAGGGAAATGGGAGGGTCGAGCTGGAACAGGGACAGAATGGGAGGGCAGGGAGAGAGATGCCATGATGGATGAGGACATCATGGGAATAGGAAGAGGCAAGGTGCTGGGGAGGATCACAGGAATTTACAAGGATGACCCCACCTGTGGTCTAGAGGGTGCCTGGACTGGTCTACTCTGGTGACTAGCCTAGTGAATACCCTACCCACCATCATAGAGCCTTTGTCCAGTGACTGATGGAGGCAGATGCAGAGATTCACGGCCAGGTGCCAGGCTGACCTCCAGGAATCCAATCGATGAGAGAAAGGAGGGATTCTGCAGGCAGGAGACATTGAGATCATGATAGGAAGATGTGCAGAGATGACTGGCCACAGTGGTGGAAGCCCATGAACGGCTGTGGAGCCCCCATGGGACTGGACTAGGTCCTCTGGATATGGAAGATGGTTGTTTGGCTTGAACTGTGTGGGGGGCACCCAGACAGGGAGATCAGGATCCATCCCTGGTGCATGGGCAGGCTTTTGGGAGCCCAGTGCCAATGGTGGGTGGTGTGATGCCTTGCACAGCCTTGGTGCAGTGGGGAGGGGCTTGGACCTTCCTAGGATCAGTGTGCCGGGCTCTGCTGACTCCCCATGGGAGACCTTGATTTGGGGGATGTGAGGATGTGGGGTGGCTTGGAAGGGAGGGCTGGGGGGGGTGAGAGGAAGAGGGAGATGGGATCTGTGGGAGGTATGTAGAGTGAGTAGAAAATTTCTTAATAAAGAAAAAATGAAAAAAAACAAAGATGAATTTAAAAGAATTCTAATTTTTGTATAATAAAAAACTAAATTACAAAAAAAAATTATAACCAGAGAACAGAAGAAGCTTGTTATTAAGTTGGGCAACATCAAAGTAATGCATTAAATAAATGCTTGGTATGTAGAAGGGGAAATAACAACATGCTAATTTATTCATCTTTTGTAACATGTGTCTAAAATTAAAATTTTGCTTAAAACTTTATCTTAATATTTATATTTTTTCTTAATTTTGTAGGTTATTTTAGGAACCAATATTTCTTGTTTGAAAAAACATCTATCTGATATTCAGAAGTTCTATGTCATTCCTTGAGTTTCTTACTGTATTATTGAAAATTCTAGTTCATTAAATTTAATATATTTTAGTGAAAATGCTGAAAAAAAAAACCAAAGTCAGTATAGCTATGTGTTTTTTCAATTCTTTATATCTTTTTTAAAAAGACAATCATTTGTTTTACTTTTAAAATTTGATTTTCTTTAAATGCATCACTGCTCTAATCTCTTATTTTTTCTATTCCCCATTGTTTTCAGGTCATTAAGAAATTCTTTGCATTTTCTTCAAGTGCTATTGATTCTTTATTTCTGCTGAGAGCAATGTTTCCTGTAACTTAGGCTTGCCTCACACTATGGAGTTGAGAATTGCTTTGAATACCTAATCCTGCTTCTGCTGCCCATTGCTGAAAAGAAAGTACTGCTACTGCTTCAAAGCTGGACCTTAACTGGTCAGTGAGAAGGAAAAATAGACCAGTAAGTGAGTGTCCTCCAACTTCTCTCAATTTTATTGCAAAGTTACAAACGAAGAGGGACCTGTGTAAGAAATGAGTTCACTGATCAATTTTAAAGCAGGTGTAGTTCCAGGACAGAAAGGGATGGGCAAGAAGGAGTATGAAAGCTTTCCTCCTTTGACTGTAGCTCACATTGGAAATAACTAGTGAGGTAATCAATTTTAGATGATTATTAATTATTGTGACTAGCCATTTCTTGCATCCACAGAACAGGGAATCAAGAATCTGGATAAAGAACTGAACTTATCATGAAGCCAAAATACAATAGTTACACTAGTTTGACCAAAATAGAACTGGTACCCTAACCCAAAGGTCTGTATAGACAGGCAGTGATGAGGAAGTCATGTGGCTGGGCTTAGAGCCAATGTGAAGGCAGAACAGAAAGGCAATAAAAACACAAGTCAGGCAGGAAGAAACTCTTTCTGGCAAAGCGATGGTGGTGAGGTAGTAAGATAAGGTAGTCATGGCTCTCTGATATCTTTGGCTATTTCCTCTGTATTTGGCTCTGTGATTCTTATTTACTAAGACTTTAGAAATTTGTCTACAGATGTGTCTGCCTTTATGTTACTTTGACTTTTTCCTTTGCAGCTCTTAATATTTTTTCTTTATTCTATATGTTTAGTGGTTTGAATGTTACGTGGCAAGGGGACTTTTTTTGATCCAGTCTATTTGGTGTTCTGTAAGCTTCTTGTACCTTCATAGGCATTTCCTTCTTTAGGTTGGGAAAGTTTTCTTCTATGATTTTTTTAATATATTTCCTGTGCCTTTGAATTGGTATTTGTCTCCTTCTATCCCTATTATTCTTAGGTTTGGTCTTTTCATGGTGTCCCAGATTTCCTGGATGTTTTGTGTTATGACTTTTTTGGCTTTAGTGTTTTCTTTAACTGACAAATCTATTTCCTCTTTTATCTTCAACACCAAAGATTCTCTTTTCCATCTCTTGCATTCTGTTGGTTGTGCTTGCATCTGTAGTTTCTGTTCATTTACTCAGATTTTCTATTCTCAGCATTCCCTCAGTTTGTGTCATCTTTATTGCTTCTATTTCATTTGTCAAATCTTGGACTGCTTCCTTCACCTATTTAATTGCTTTTTCTTGGTTTTCTTTGCTTTCTTTAAGGGATTTATTGATTTCCTCCAATTTTTTGTTTGTCTTTTCTTCAATTTCTTTAAGCAAAATTTTCATTTCCTATTTAAAGGTCTCTATCATCTTCTTAAGGTCAATTTCTCCTGCTTCTTCAGCTTTGGGATGTTCAGGTCTTGCTGATGTAGAACCACTAGGTTCTGATGGTGCCATATTGGTCTTTATGCTGTTGACTGTATTTTGCACTGGTGTCTACCCATCTCTTCCTCCACTCCATGCAAGTGATATCTGTGTCTGAGGGAGCCTCTCTTGGTCTGGTTGTTATTCTTGATCTAATTAATGGCAGCTCTTGGTCTAATCCAGGCTCTTGGTCTGATTGGTGCGGATGGATTCTGTGTCTCAGGGAGCAGCTCTTATTCCAATGGGCACCAGTGGGCTCTGTCTCAGGGAGCAGCTATTCCCAACCAGTGCAGGGTGGGACCTGCTTTCTTGGTGAGAGGGCAGGGGAAGAGGCAGCTTCCCAGTCCCTGGGGCTCCAGTGGCTTGGGAGATGGGCACAGAATGTGCCCCCAGGACCTAGGGGCTAGGGACTTGGTCTGCTCAGTCTGGAGATGGGGTCTTACCAGTTCACAGTCAGTGCTGGGTGGGTTTATGACTCTGGTGGTCACAGGGGGCTATGTTCTTGGTAAGAAGTGCTAGAGGGTTAGGGTTAGGATTAGGGTTAGGGTTAGGGTTAGGGTTAGGGGTTAGGGTTAGGGGTTAGGGTTAGGGTTAGGGTTAGTGTTAGGGTTAGTATTAGGGTTAGGGTTAGAGGGTTAGGGTTAGAGGGTTAGGGTTAGGGTTAGAGTTAGGGTTAGGGTTAGAGTTAGAGGTTGGGAGGGAGGGCTGTGGGGTGGGAGGAGGGAGTAGATGGGATATTTATGTAGAGTTAGTAGACAATTTCTTATAAAGAAAAATTAAAATAAAATTATGCCCTTCAAAAAAAAAAAACAAAAACAAAACAAAAACAAAAATAAATATTCCACTATTATCCTCTCTATAAAATCCCACCCCTGGGTATGCATCTACACAATCCCACTCCCATGACCTGTACACACATTACCTACCCAAGCAGCCTTAGGGGGTTAGGGTTAGGGTCAGGGTGTGGGGTCAGGGTCAGGGTTAGGATCAGAGTTAGAGAATAAGGGTCAGGGTGATGATCAGGGTCGGGTCAGGGTGGTCAGGGTTAGGGTTGGGTTTCGGAGTTAGGGGTTAGGGGTTAGGGTTAGGGGTTAGGTTTAGGTTTAGGCCTCCATTCAGTTCCTTTCCATTTCCAGGGTTCCATTTCATTCTGTTCTGTTCTATTCCACTGTTTGTGTCAGGGTCAGGGATTAGGGTCAGGGTTAAAGTTGGGGTCAGAAGAGTTAGGGTCAGGGTTAGGGTTAGAAGGGTTAGGGTCATGTTCAGGGTTGGAAGAGTTAGGGTTAGGGTTGGGTATAGGGTCAGGGTCAGAGTCAGGGTCAGGGTTGGGTGTAGCATGAATCCTAAAGGGTCTTATTAATAAAAATCAAACCTGATGCCAGGTATTGGGTGAATTGAACTCACAGAGATCTAGGTGGATCTAGGCCTCTGGAATGCTAGGATTAAAGGTGTGTGCTACCACTGCCTAACCTCTATGTTTAATATTGTGGCTGTTCTGTTCTCTGACCCCAGATAAGTTTATTAGAGTGCACAATATTTTGAGGAATACAATATCACCACAGTCGGTTCAGGGTTAGGGTCAGGTTCAGGGTGAAGGTGAGGGTCAGGGTCAGGGTGAGGGTTCAGGGTTAGAGGGTTGCTGAGGATCAGGATTAGAGGATCAGGGTGAGGATCAGGGTTAGAGGGTTGGTGAGGATCAGAATTAGAGGGTCAGGGTTAGTGAAGGTTCAGGTTTAGAAGGTCAGGGTGAGGGTTGAGGGTTTAGAGGGTCAGGGTGAGGATCAGGGTCAGGGTGAGGGTTCAGGGTTAGAGGATCAGGGTGAGAGTCAGGGTGAGGGTCAGAGGGTCAGGGTCAGAGGGTGAGGGGTCAGGGTTAAGGTCAGGGGTCAAGGTTGGGGTCAGGGGTCAGGGTTTCAGGGTCAGGGTCAGGGTTAGGGTTAGGGTTAGGGTTAGGGTTAGGGTTAGGGGTTAGTGCTGTGGGATGGTCTGTATGTCAAATGTGTTGCTCTGATTGGGAAATAAATAAATCACTGATTGGCCAGCTACAGACAGATGTGAGCTATCACACGGCTATTGAGAATTGAACCTCGATCTTCTGGAAGAGCGCAATCAGTGCTCTTAACCACCAAGCCATCTCTCCAGCCCCATCATTCAGTCCTTTAACTGCAATTCTAAATGGTAGCTTTAGAACTGGAGACAGTTTACTTTCTCCTTCCTTGGTGATTGGAACTTTGATGATGGTGTTTCCCTTTTAAGCATTACTTTACTTAACTTTTGAACTTTAATAGGTTTAAAGAACGAATGCCTACAAGATTAAATTAATAAATAAGTTGCTATCCACCAAGTAGCAAGTACCTATCAACCTGATCAAAACAAATAACCAAATCTTGCTATGTGTCTAATGTTTCATACTGTTTTTTAAATTTTTTATCAGACATAACACCCAACCCTATGCTTCACTGTTTCCCATATTCTTTAGCTTTATACAATAGGAAAGGTTATTTTCTGTAGATGTATGCAATGTGGTACGGAGGTATTTGATAAAAGTGTTTCAGATGTGTGTTTCAGTTGGAGTATAAATCAAAAATTAAGACCTAAAAATATAGAAATTTAATTGACTGGAAATCCCAGTGTATTAGTCAGGGTTCTCTAGAGTCACAAATCTTATGGAATAAATCTCTCTCTCTCTCTCTCTCTCTCTCTCTCTCTCTCTCTCTCTCTCTCTCTCTCTCTCTCTGTGTGTGTGTGTGTGTGTGTGTGTGTGTGTGTGTGTGTGTGTGTGAATTTATTGGAATGACTTACAGACTGCAATCCAAAAATGGCTAGCTGTGAATGAAAAGTCCAAGAATTTAGTAGTTGCTCAGTCCCATGAGGCTGGGTGTCTCAGCTGGTCTTTTTGTATATGCTGGAATCCCAAAGAAGTAGGCTTCAATGTCTGTTCAGGAATGAATGTGCTGACAAGATGAGGGAAAGCAGCCTTTTTCCATTGTCCTGCTAGCAGAAGGTGTGACCCAAATTAAAGGTGTGGCTTCCAGCCTGAAAGTCTGGATTAAAGGTGCATGTCATTCAGCCTCAGGATCTGGATCAAAGGCATGTTGTCTTCTTGCCTTAAAATCCAGGGGGCAACTGTGCTCTCCATTTCTGAATTATAGTACATTCCAGATATAGTCAAGTTGACAACCAAAAATAGCCATCACGATCCACCCCTTGTCAACTTGGCACAGAATTATATCACCTTATGTCATGATTAATTTCCAAATGAAAAATAATAACCATGTCATAATTATTCCTAAACACAATGTAACTATCCTACAATTGCGAATGCATTATATATTTAGAATAGTGGTAATGTTTCTTGGGGGATATCTTTCTGGTATTTCAAACTTACATCTGATAACCACTGATATTCTCTTAATTGATATTATAACATATGATAAGAAAATGGAAAGAATATACAAATATCTGTACACATACATTATTAAGAAAATGCAATAGAAGCACTCATGTCAGTTATAATCCTCACTTCTGTAACTGGTGACGTGGCCTTAGATGATATTTAGAACTACATTCCTCTACTATGCATTCTGTATATCTTCCACCTTCTGCAAACACTTCAGAAGTCTTGGGTCTTTTCCTGGAGAAGTGACCCATACCTCCATTCCTGATGCATCTGTGCCCTTTGTCATCCTTCCTGGATTAGATTGTTGTAGTTTCCCATTAACTTTAATCACAGGGTATAATAGCACCAAGAGATGCCCTAAAGGATCTCCTGCACTCCAGATATCATCTTGCTTACCTCCATTGTAGAGAGGCAATTCAATTTCCCCATGGTAATCTGAATATATCATCCTTTCTAATGGTGTTATTCCTTTCTTAGTCTGTTGGTTTAAGGGCATTTGAAGCCCAAAATGACCAGGGGGAAGTCTGACTTTCCAGTTCAATGGAATGTTTGTTGTGGCTGGGCTCCTGGCAGAAGCACTCTCTACTCTGGAACCAAAATTTCTAGGCCAGCAGAACTTAGAGTTGTGAATACAAGAAGCAAAAACTTTCCTAGTCGGTTACTAGGGTGATAGTGACTGGAACTATTTCCTTTACCATTCCTTGATTCCTGGACCCATGGAGATCCTGGCTATAGGAGAAACCATACCATATATCAGATGGTGATCCAGGGCATATACTGCCTTCTGGAGAACCTTGCCCCAGCCCTAAAGATGCTGCCACCTAATTGGTACTGTAACTGTGTCTTCAAAAGACCAAAGTCCATTACATCTCTCTATCAGGCCAGTTTCTTCAAGATGCTGGGGAACATGGAAAGACCAGTAGCTTCCATGATTGTGGGCCACTGTTGTACTTCTCTGGCTGTGAATTGAGTTCTCTGGTCAGAAACAATACTGTGTGGAATATCACATTGGTGGATAAGACATTCTATAAGTCCATTGATGATGGTTTTGGAAGAAGCATTATATGTAGGAAAGGCAAATTCAGAGTAAGTATCAGAGTAAGTATCTACTCTAGTAAGGAAAAAGAGTTGTCCTTACCATGAAGGAAATGGTCCAATGTAGTCAACCTGCTACTAGATTGCTGACTTGTCACCCTGGCTAATGGTGTCATATCTAGGGCTAAGTGTTGATCTCTGCTGTTGGCTGATCTGGCACTCAGCAGCAGCAGTAGCCAGGTCAGCTATGGTGAGTGGAAGTTCATGTTGTTGAGCCCATGCACAGACCCCATCTCTGCCATCATGGCCATATTGCTCATGGGCCCATTGGGCAATGACATAAATGGCTGGGAAAGGAGACTGACTGTCTACAGAGTCAGCCTATCTGCTTGATTACTGAACTCCTCCTTAGCTGAAGTCAGGTTTTGGTTAGCATTTCCATGGGATACAAATATCTTCATACCCTTAGCCCATTTGGAGAAAACTATCCACATACTTCTCTTCCCCAGATGTCTTTTCTCACCAATTTTCCAATCATGCTCTTTCCAAGTCCCTGACCATCCAGCCAATCCATTTGCAGCAGCCCATCAATCAGTGAATAGTTGCACAGTTAGCCATTTCTCCTTCCAAACAAGCTGTATGACTATGTGTATTGCCTGAACTTCTTCAGTATCTCTCCCTTCACTTCCCTTCACCAGCATCTTTCAGGGTTGTCCCAGAATGGGGTTGTAATGCTGCAGGTGTCTACTTCTGTGTGGTGCCTGTATGATGTACAGAACCATTAGTAAACCAGGCCTTAGTCTTTATCTTCCTCAGTCAACCAATCATAGGGAACACCTCATGAGGCTACAGGTGTATGCTTGGCAGCAGAAAGCATTGTAACAGAAGTAGAAACCATAGACATTTGGGCATCTTCTTCATGTATCTTGCTTGTGCCTTCAGGACCTGCTTGGGCCTGATCTCTTATATATCACTTCCATTTGATAATAGATTGCTGCTGTGCATGTCCTATTTTATGACTTGGTGGATCAGATAACACACAGCTCATGATGGGCAGTTCAGGTTGCATGGTAAAATGGTGGCCCACTGTCAAATGTTCAGTTTCTCCCAGTGGCTGGAATTAATGGCATGTGCTCACATGCTTGGCCATGTTTATTTTTGAAAATGATTCTAATGGGCACCAGTGGCAGACACTTGAAATGACTTTAAGAGGTATTATATTGTCCCAATTCTCCAATGCTCCTTTTCTTGTATGTTTTAAGTTATCTTCTTTTCTAGGTGTGTGTGGACTATGTAGCAGAGGGTTTAAAACTTACAATGATCTTCCTGCCTCTGTGTTCAGATTGCTTGTGCTAAAAGGATGCACTACCACACATAGCTTGAAAAATAATTTTTATTGTTCAAATCTCCTCTTCTTATTGTGGCCAGGAAGGCCAGGATATGGTGTTAGAACCCCTGATACTGGAGTTATAGATAGTAGTGAGCTTCTATATGTACTGGGAATAGAAGTTGGATAATTTGAAAGAATTTTCAGTGCTCTTAACTGCTAAGGTATTTTCCACCCTAAGTTTTCTATTCTTGATTATGTTTCCTGTCCATGGCAGCCTAGTCAGGGTCAGACAGCTGATGCTCATTAAAAAGTGGAATTTGCCTCCATTTGAGAGAGCCATATATATATATATATATAATATATAATATATATATATATATATAACCAACCAAAATGGGTGCAGAAGGTTGTATTCATGTATTTCAGTGTTCTTATTCACCCATATTTAACAAGGAAGAGGTTGGAAGGGATTTGTGAAGGGATGGAATGAAGAGATAAAAGTGGAAAGTGATGTAATGTCTTTTAATTAACAATTTATGGAAATAAATTTTAAATAAAAAAGGACTAGATAGATGACTTAGCAATTAAGAGCACTGGATGATTTTACAGAAGATCCAGGTTCCATTCCCAGAACCTGCATGGTAGCTAACCATTTGATATAACTCCAGTCTCAGGCATCTCCCATCTTCTGGCCTCTGTAGGTACTGTGCAGAGACACATACAAGCAAAACATCATATAACTAAAGTTATTTTTTAAAAGTTAGAAAAATGAAAGAATGAAATTCTCTACACATTATTGATGTCATAGCCCTGAGACAGACAGCAAGCCAGGGCTAGTTAAAATGAGTTCCTCTGGTCTTGCATTAAAGCAGCTGTGGCCTTCTGCTGAACCAGTCTGCTCAGAGGCAAAAGCACCTTTGTTCTGAGATTAATAGAGATTATTGTAACCATTAATCTAGGAGCAGAGTATACAGTGCTTTAGGTGACTTTTCCTTGAAGCTTTCTGTATTTGTGTTCTCTATATTTTATATCTATGAGAATTGTGGCATTGGTACAGTTATCTTTTAGATTAAATATCACGATTGACAGGTCACATAGGCTCCAAAGCAATTTATTTTTACTGTGTCATTTACTTGGTTTTCAGCTAAGACCTTGTGGTGCAAGATAAATACACCAGAGGCATTTTTCCCATCATTTTTATAATTTATATATGTTCTTGCATGACTTTGAGGTAAGAAAGTCCCTAAATGTCTACTTTTACATTGTAATCATGTTCAGAAGTGTATTTGTTAACTGAGCATGCTTGGGAATAGGCAGAACTCTATGTAAACATGTCTAAACTCCCTAAGTAAAATCCATATGCTTCCTTTGTTTAGGAAAAGCATTGTTTTGGAAATAATTCTCATGCTCTCCTTGCCTCCTGCAGGTAAAAAATCTTTTTCATTTCTTCCATCTTGGCTGTTGTGATGGCTATTCTTGGTAATCAAACTGACTACATCTGGACTTAACTAAAACCCAAAGAGTTAGATACACCTGTGAATGATCTTTCTTAAAGGTTTTGAAGTTAAAGACCCATCTTTAATCTGGATCATTTTAGGTGATATGATCCAACTTTAGCTGCTTGGTGGCATTGCACACCGTTAATCCTAGTTTTTAGGAAGCAGAGGCAGTCATAATTTCTGAGTTTGAGGCCAATGTGGTCTGCAAAATGAGTTCCAGGGCTACACAGATAAACCCTGTCTCCAAAACACCAAAATAAACAAACAAACAATCAAACAAAGAATAAGATCCACCTTTAATCTGGATTGTACCTTCTGGTAGCAGCTGACATATATAAAGGATATTGAAGAAGGAAGTTCTCTCTTTTTGCCTGCTTGTCCTAACTCTGATTATCAAGTTCATTCCTTTGCTAGCATTAGAACCCACTTCTTTGGAATTCTGGTGTATCCTGAAGACCAGCTGAGACATCCAGTCTCATGGAATGAACAACTATTGGATTCTTCACATTCCATTGGTAGGCAGCCATTGTTGGATTACCTGCACCACAGTTTGTGAGACATTCTAATAAATCCACTTTCTACATACATGGAGAGATTTATTCTACCAGTCCTATTCATGTAGAGAACCTTAAATAATGCAGCTATTTTATCTTTTATTTATTTATTTTTCTCCACCTGCCCACCGAGGAAGATGTGCTGGCTAACAGTAGTGCTCATAAAGACATTTTCCTAGCTTCATTATTCTCTAAGTATTCAACTTTCTGTGAAGCCTACTCTTTTTGTTGTTATTCATTTGCAAAGAATTTGCTCTGAATTTCATGAATAAAACTCCTAAAGCAATGGAGCCATCATCTAGCCTTCTGATTGGAGAAAGACCTATTATCTTGTTTGAGATCTGGTTCCTGCTTTTCATTCCTGGTTGTCTGAAGTCCCTCCAGTTCATCTGATCTCAGTATGAAACCACAGAACAAAGATCTCCTTTTGTGTCCTTAAATCTCCTTTTAATTGTTAGTATTCTGGGTACCCTTCCACCTATGGGACAGGGTATCATAGTATAGTATAGTGGGCTGTGCAAGCTAACTAGCCACATTGTATCCTGGAGGAAAAAGGGGAAGTGTCTATGGAGTGCAGGAAGATAGCAGGGTCTGCTGTTGGAGGCAGGGTCCAAGTGCTATTGAAATGCATATCTCTGCTGATCTAGAAAATGTCTCTGTCTGTGGTGGAAGGCAGGGTCAAGAACCATTGTGCTGTGTCTTTAAGCACACTGTAACCCTATAGGAGGTGCTCTTGTCACTCACTCAGGCCTCACTAGCCAATCAGGCCCTCTAGGTGACCTGCCAGTCAGAAGTGGTGCAGGACTCTTCTGGGCTCCCGAATTCAGGCTTGGCTTTGAAGAGGAGCTGGTACCAGTGGTTTTGTGTGCTGTTCTGCCATTGCTGCTGCAAGGAGCTTGGATGAGCTGGGAAACCACAACATGGTAAGTGAGGGACTGCTGTCCCCAGATGGGTAGGAGCAGATGGTAAGGTGCAGCAGCCACTGTGGTGGGTCCTCCCCAGATCTGGGTGGGAACTTGCAGCCAGATTCCCTGTCCTGTGAGGTCCCATGTGGTCTTTGCAACTCCCTGGACCCAGGGGCAGGCCTCTGAGTAATTTTCCTGTGTGGGCTGAATCTGCTCAGAGCATTGGGAGCAGGGAGCTCTGTGTAGAAACGTTTTTGTAGTCAACTTAAACATGCTTTTGGTGCATCCATGGAAAGCAGGTTGTGAAACTTGGAGAGGCCTAGTTTCTCCAGTATCTTCTAGATGTTCAGCACTTTGCATTTAATCTTTATGTGTAAGATCCATTTATAGTTAATTTTGTGGAGGTTGTAAAGGGCATCTCAAGTGTTGTGTAGCATTCCACTAATATGCCACCATGTAGAAGAGTAGAATTGGTGATTTAAAAAATTTACCAATGCTTAGGAGATTGTAAGGCTCACAAAGTAGAATTCAGCTGAGGGAAGACTACGTCTAAAACACCCAAAAGATAAGTATATGCTAACCAGCCCTGTTAGAGATTAGAATGCTAGGATACACATTTGTTCACCAGGATTGTCCAAACAAGCCCACCCCTGATTTACAACTAGCCACTAGACCCACCCCCATATCAAAGAACAGGCTGCTAAAGGTGGCATTCAGAGTCACAACCAACCTTAAGGCCTGCTGTGCCATAAAGTTCCAGTTTTCTTGAGAAAAGAATAGTTCTGTCAGATGGGCAATATGAAACCAGGTGACAACTATTTGATTGCCGACCTTGACCAGATGTCCTCCCTATGTGAGATTCCCTGACCAGATTCCTCCCCATTCAGATGCCGGTCCTCCTTCACCTAACGATCAATCGGAGGTTCTTTGTTCCTGTATCCTGCATTTGGTGTAAACAGCTTAGATGCAAGAATGTAGCATTGGGTAACTTCTGCCCTCCGGGGATCCGCCATTGTGCTGTAAGCCTGTATTTAAGGTTTCCTCCCTCTTTCAATAAACGGCATTCAGGGCATTCGGCATTCAGCTGTGGCGAATGACTCGCTGTCTCTTGTCCCTTATTTTTTAATCCACAGCCCCTCGCTCGGACATGGTGAACGGGTGGTGTAGCGCGGGGTGTTATCCGTTACAAATGGAGGTTCCTACTACGAGATCCGAGAAAGAAGAAGGACAGCTGATGGACACCCTTAAGGTAAGGCTGGCCAGCATTTTAAAGAAAAAAGAAAAGGTAAGGGTGAATTGAAATGGGTGCAGCTAGCTCACAGTCAGTTGATTGGACTGCAAGCAGGAAGGCACCGAAGTTAAGAAAGGGCAAGACAGCTAAAGATTTTAAATAAAAAAGGAAATCTTCCCAAAGAGAAGAGGGAAGGAAAGGGAAATTTCCCATTAGAAAAGGGAGAAAAAAATTTTAATCAAGAAAAAAGGATTTTCCCGGTAAAAAGGGGAAAAATTTTGAAACTAGGCCTAAAGATTGGGGCCCTGTAGAGGAAGGATGAAGGAAAGAGAGAAGCCTCTTCCCAGTGGTAATGGAGGAAGAAAAGACTCTTCCAATTGTAGAATTTTCAGGATAGCTGAAACTCTGAGCTCTTTCTGCAGTGCAGCATCAATTACAAAGAATCGGCAGGTAGGCCTCATTGCTGCTGGCTGAACAGCAAGCAAGCCCAGAGGTTAGAAGTTTTGCTGTCTGTTTGCTTATTTTGGTTCAAATGTTTTTTATTTTTCCCTCAGAGTGGGAATAATTCAATATTTAGGATCCCTTCATGGGAAATGTTTTTCTGTTTTTCCCTTATGGTGGGAATAACTCATTATTAGGTAGTCCCTTCATGGGAGTAGGAAGTTTAAACGTGAGTTTGTGTGTGCGGGGCGCACCCAGCGGCAGCAGTGGCGGACAAAGGCATGCATGTGTGAGATAGCCCAGGAGCAGCAGGGCAGACAGGTACGCGCCGGTGGGAGGCAGGAGCTGCATGGAGCCCCGGGCTGGGCACCAGCATTAGAGCCCAGGCACCAGCACTAGAGCCTGAGCACTGGGCAGAGCAAAGCTAAGCCAGCCTCAGCTCGCCCAAGGAGAGAGGCCCTAGGGACAGCTAAAAGTTTAAACAGGCCCAACTTCTGGTGAAAAATGGTTTCAGGTCAGGACATGGAATGCTAAGTCAATGCTGAAAAATGTTTCAGAATAAAGGTATAAAGGATGTTCTGTTCTTTTGATTGTCTTAATAAATGTTGGATGAATATTTGATTCTCATGGTAGATAAACTAAAGGAACAGGATTCATAATTTTGAACTATATATTAGGTGTGCTCTTGTCTGTTGATCATTACTGAAAATTTGGCTCTGCAATTTAAGTTGCTTTCTAGAAATTCTTGGTTTAATTCTATAGAAATATAACACCTGAAATGGATTGGGTTGTTAGCTTATTAAATAATGTTGCTAAGATAAACCCATAAATAATAATCTCTTACTGATAAAGAGGTTACAAAATTATTTTTCCAGTAAATAAAATACAGGTAAATTGTTTGGTCCACATTGTTAATAATTGGCTATTTGTGCTAATGTGTTACTTGAAATCTATAAAAAAGGATCCTCTTTTTAAGATTTTATAAAAATACTCCAGAGTATTACCTAAAGTTACCTCTTCAAATCCTATAGAGATTGTATTTAATGCTTTTATAATTGGCATATGTAAAAAGGACCATAGAAACAGAAGCTGGTGATAGAATTGCTCAATTATTATTGCTTTCATATTTTAAATGCAAAATGGCACCTATATGTAGAACTGGAGGCTTTGAAAGTAAGTACAGGAAAAAAGGTGTTTTGACAAACAGTTATCAATGATAAGCAGCCTAAATTAAAAACAAAATTATATGGGATTGAGATTGGAAGATTATTGGATTCTGGTGCTGGATATATCTATAATTTCACAAGAATCCTGAGATCCCAATTGGCCCCTTAAAAATTCCACCTCTAACCTACAAGGTATCGGCACAGCTCAGATGCCATTACAGAGCAGGCTACTCTTAAATTGGAAGGATGAGGAAGGTCATGCAGGAACTTTTCAACCCTTTGTGCTACCTGACATTCCAGTGAACTTGTGGGGACGGGATGTGTTAGATGGTATGGGAGCAGTGCTTACTACACAGCCTGTACAACAGATGCTGAAAAGTCAGGGCTACTGCCCGGGCAGAGGCTTAGGGAAAATGTTGCAAGGAGACCCACTCCCTGTGGCAGACAAAAACTGTGTCACTAGAGGTCCTGGGGATACTAGAGGATTAGGGTCTTTTCCATAGGGGTCACTGCACAGCAGCCTTCGATTATACAACCAATAAAAATCACTTGGAAAAGTGATGACCCTGTATGGGTGGAACAGTGGCCCCTTACTAAAGAAAAATTGGAGGCTGCGAACACATTAGTTAAGGAACAGTTAGATGCTGGACATATCATTCCTTCCACTTCACCTTGGAACTCACCTATATTTGTTATTAAAAAGAAGTCAGGAAAATGGAGGCTATTACAGGATCTTAGAGCTGTAAATAAAACCATGCTTCTCATGGGAGCAACACAGCCTGGCTTGCCTGCCCCTGTGGCAATTCCTAAACATTGGCATTTAAT